GACGTGGATGTTACATTTCCCTTGAAATACTTGGTTTTGTGAATTTTGAGTGTCCATTTCGAAATTTTTGGCCATCTTGTATGCAAAGAGGCCTTCTTTAGACCAGGCCACAGGTGATAGAGAGAACCATTTCTTCCAGGCCCAGGGCTTTTATTCCAAGGCGCCCAACTGTACTATACACCATGCTTTGTCTTAATACTGGTTAATTCGTGTATTTCGGAATAATATTTTTCTGCTTTTTGGAGACAAGTACGATATTCATTAGCATTATAGAAGAACATGTACAAGAGAGAATAGCATACACCATTGAAAGGGGCCACAATAAAATCCTTGTCGGGAATTTCAACCCGGTCAAAAGAGAAAAGAACGTCACACACCAAAATTACATAGTATGACTACTCTTTACAATGCTCCTCAAGCCAAACTAAGTCTATGTGAAATGCAGTTAGCTTCCCTAGCAACATAATTGTATTTGACATGTTGAAAAAGCATGAAGGATCATTAAGCGCAGGTCCAAGCAATGAGGAGTCAACAGAGGAATGCTTTGACAAATCACTTTCCAATGCCTACAAGTTCTCACGGCATTGGTGAAGATGATCAGAAGTTCAGTTGAAACTTTAGGAGGGGACGTTGATGGTCGACATCACGCCTTTTGATTCGGCAGAATCCCTGAAACGATAGATGGATTCTCGATTTAGCAACATCTAGAAGACATTGTCCTAGAATTAAATTTTCTACGAGACACCTGGATTATATGTAGATTAAAGCCAAACAACAAACCTTACGAGAAACTAGAAGGTGAGTTCAACTGACGCTCCTTTCTTCCGTATGTTGTGCGAAAACTTGCACAACTAAGATAAGCAAATCCATGCGCCGTGGAAATTTGATATCGAATTTGGTACGTACGGACGAATGATTACCTAAAGTGTGTCATAAATTAGTAAGATGTGCACAAGAAGTTAAATAATCATTACTAATTTGATATATATAAAATCAGCGAATCACCTTTCCAAAGAAGATTAATCTATATGCCTAGCTCGCGAGTCACCACTTGATCCACATTACCCAGCTCTCCTTCTCATTTGAAGAAGAAAAATAAGCATATTAAACTAATATGATGATAGCGTTTGTTATTGATACACAGATAAATGCATAAATAAGATAGGTAGAGCCTAGTAACCAGATTTATGATGAGATTTTGATGTTTGGGATGTGAGAAATCTCGGACCACTCCTCTCCATTGCCTTGTTCACAACGCTCTGAAAGATTCGAACAATTCCTAATGATAAGCTCTTGCACCAATGTTTTGCAGAGGAAGTCTGGCAGTGTTTTTAGGACATGACAATCACTAATTTTTAAGGAGGAAAGGCATGGCATGATTGAAATTTCAGAATCCTCCAGGTTCAAGACTTTCAGATCTCCCAATTGTTGTAATGCTGTTGTACCCTCATCCTCGCCACAACCCACAACACACACATCAATTGTTTTCAAATTCTTTAATCTACGAATCCCTTTTGGTAAGTACTTCAGCTTATAACACCGTAAAACATAAAGGTGCTTTAAGCTAATCAACTTTCCCATCTTATCAGGTAGTTTTTCAAGTTGATAACAGTTGAGAAGACGCAAGGTATACAAATTGTACAACTCACAGATACTGTCAGGTAATGTCTTCAAAACATGATTCCATGACAAATCAATATGCCTTAAATGTATCAATTCACCAATTTCCTTTGGGACTTCACTTATTCTTTTGCCCCTCAAATTTAATGACCTAAGACATTTTAATTGTAGAATAAAATTGAAATCTATCGTCGTACGATTGTATGACCCAAGAATTGTGAGAGTACGCAAATTTTTGCAATTGTAATATGCTCACCATGTTTCAACCTTAAGGTCAAATGACGAACCTTTTCAACCAAAACTTTTGTTTCATTGCCAACACCTTCATCATCGATTGTCAAACATTCATTCTTGGTGAGAGATTGCACAAAGTCATGAACAATATCATGCATTTTGCAACCTATAATTTTACCACTGAGACTATCATTCTGCAAATCTTGGAAAAAAGATCGGGCTACTAAGTTATCAAAAACTGCTTCACCAATGTCTCCCTTACCCTCATTCCCTTCCAAATTAAGATAATCTTGCACCATCCAAAGATTAACCAATTCATCTCTCTCAAACTTGTAATCTTTTGGAAAATGAGCACAATACAAAAGGCAACATTTGACTAATGGGGCCAAATCATTGTAACTTAGTAACAGCGGTTGGAAAACTTTTTGCTCCACCTCTTCTCGATCCCATACCTTACTGTTCAAAACACCTAACCTTTCTTTCCTTGTTCTCTTATTGCGCATGAGACTGCCTAAAGCTTTTGCGGCAAGAGGCAAACCCTTACATTTCTCTACAATTTTTGTTACCAATATCTTCAAACGTCTTGGACTCATCTACTTCATTATAAGAAAATGCATGTGATTAAAGATTGAAAAACAATATTGTTCACTCAACTTTTCCAAATTAATAATGTCACTTGTTGCTCTCATCATATCAACAACCTCATGCTTTCTTGTGGTCACCAATATTCTACTGCCATGAGCACCACTTTGGATTAGTGTTGCCCTTAAGCGCTCCCACTTTTCACTGTCGTGGCTCCACACATCATCTAGAACAAGGAGAAACCTCTTGCCCTCGATAGATTTTAACATGCACTGCAAGACACAGTCCAACTCATCTGAAATTGGGGCACCACCATCGATTATGGATTTGGCAATCTTAACCTTATAAAAAGGGTCTGAGACACAAACCCACACTCTTTTATCAAAATAAGCTTTAACCTTGCCATCATTATAAACTAGTTGGGCCAGAGTTGTCTTGCCCATTCCTCCCATCCCTAGAATAGGGATGATAAGGAGCCCCCTCCGATCACTCAACAACTTTGTGATCAGAATGTCTTTTTCCTTTTCTCGACCAAATACCTCTGACATGATGACAAAAGATGAAGTCTTCTGTCGTTCAGGTAATTGTTGAATGCCTCCTTCTATACGTTGAAACTCATACATTTTTCTTTGATCATCAATTGCTCTTAGCCTACCATTCAGATCTTTTATCTTACTCGCAATGTCATGGCGAAAAGCTACCTCTCTGGCTTTGCGAAAACAAAAGCAGCTAGGGGAAGCAGAGAGAGTTACCTTCTTCTTCTTGTTAGGAACAAGAACATCAGCATTTTCTCCTTCCCGTTCTTGCTTCTTAACCTGCTGTCTCAGCATCTCGGTGTTCCACTCGTCCAGCACATCCACCATCTGGAAGGATATGTCTTTGAGCTGATCCAACTAGTTCCTCACGCTGGCATCCTTGACTTGCCTTTGCTCCGCATCTTCGAGAACTGCTTGAATAGCTCTGAGATGGCCTGCAAAATCTTCAACATCTTTCTTGGCTTTCAAAACAAGTTTCACCTCCCCGTCCACAAACTCTTAAGCTGTTGAAGCCAGCCGATCTAGTAGCATGGAAATGATCCCATCAGCCATTTTTTCAGCCTCAGAAGTCTGTTGACAGTGGAAAAAGAAATGATGAACGAGAAATGCAGGATGGTTTGTGACAATGCCTCTCTTCTATCCAACTTCAACGAACCCCACAGAAATAAAGTAATTTGTATTATTATTCTGTGGAGGCCAATATCAACTCATTAATAACTTCACTTTACATAAGAAGTTTTAAATTCGAATTTTTTAGATGACGTGTTCGATACTAATTTCTTTCTTCATCACATACTGTAAATATCTCGTTCTATTTAAAAATAAAGCAAAGCTTATATGATTCTGAGTGGATCAACTCAAGTCAAGTAAAGTGAGTGGTAGTGTGGTGTCATATTTTGTAGAGGCCGACTACAACTCACTCGACAGAACTAAAGTTTATGTTGGAGAGTTATGTTTTTATTTAAATATTTAAATATATTTATATTTTGTTTTATTACCAATATTATATACATAATATTTTCCTTTATTACCAGTTAATTTTCAAACTGTTTTGTTTTCTTTTTCAATTTGAATTGACTACGTTTTGTCCCGTTGTGATTTTTTGTCCTTTTTGATTGCCATGATTCCTGGCGTTTTGGCTTTCAATTGCATTGTTTCTTACGGTTTGCAATCTCAATATATTTTTTATTATTATAATATATACATATGTACACACATGCAATCATGATTTATAAAAGTCGCCATCTCAACGGATACCAGGATACACACCAACATATATATATATATATTTGTAATTTTGGGTCATGCAGATAAGAAGAAAAGCAAGAAAAAAGTTTTACATATATTGATTTAAAAGCAACATATTGAAAGGGTGTGAGTTCGAATGTTCTTTTGGTGTGCAAGGAAGAATCTTATCAGAAGAAGGTTCTGGGCTGTTTTATTTTGGGGACGATGTGGTGTTTGTGAACTGCTTGCACACTTTGGATAGAGCCGCAAAACGTCTTAAAGAGAGCGATTTAGTCCACGACTCATCCCAAGAATCATTCACCACTCAAGACTTTTACAATTTTCGGATAACTTCGTTCCTTTCTATTTCAATTTTCAACAGTTTTTATGATGATTCCAAGTCTATCAAGTTGCAAGTAAAGTAAATTGAATGGTTGTGTTGTGTCATCTTGTAGAATCCAACTGCAACTCACGGGACAGAAATAAAGTGATTAGTGTAAAAAGGAGAAAAAAGCAAGCCTTCGTTGACCCGACCATTTATAAAAGACAAGCATTCAATTATTATGTGGTAATTTGCATTCAAACTCTAGCTCTGTTTTGCTTTTTAACCTTGATCATGGTAGTCTCTTTTTATGTAAATTTTCATCTGGAGCATTAGAGCAACTCTACTTGTTTTAGGAAGGAAAGGATAAGGGCAATGAAATTGGCTTTACTATTAATTTTAAATAGTAATTGTCTTTGCAAATCTACTCGTTTGGAAAGAAGAAAGGTAAATGCAATAGTTACTATTCAAAAATATATTTTTTATTTTTGCAATGTTTTCTTAGTCTTATCCTTCACGGGTCATTATCGTTATAAATTTTAGATGAGATTTTCAACTACTTTCTCGCGCTATATGTCATTATGTATTAGTAATATCCATTTAGATTTTTGTTAAGATTCTCGACCATGTGGTGTCACATGCCGTTAATCTTGGGGCCGGGGGTTTTGGATTACGTGAGGGCGGCTCCAAGGGTTCGGCCTGCGAGCAAACAGGTAATTGCTAATCTTCCGGTGATCATGATCACGGAGGAAGCGTTGAAGAAGCTCGGAGAGGACGCCGACTGCTACATTTGTAAGGAGGACTTGGTTGTCGGTGACAAAATGCAGGAATTGCCCTGCAGGCACACTTTTTCACCCTCCAAGCCTAAAGCCATGGCTGGGAATTCGAATTTTTGAACGTTTGTTGTATTGCTACTGTATCTCATTGGTTGCATTCAATTCGATTTTCGAGTGACTGACCGACTGGGGTTTTTGGGTTGTTTTGATTGTGGCAGGAGGAGCACAATTCTAGTCCGATATGCCGGCATGAGCTGCAGACGGATGATCACGAGTACGAGAGTTGGAAGGAGCGGGAGGAGGAGGCCGAGGAAGACAGAAAAGGAGCTGCGAATGCTATTGGAGGTGGTGAATACATGTATGTTGCTTCTCCAGTTTGTCAAATTTGCATAAATTCTCATTCAGTCCATCACATTAAGCATGTCTCTAAATATAATCTTTAGGAAAACTAGAACAATACAAAAGACAACATTTGATTGATGGGGTGAAATCATAATAACTTGGTAAAAAGGTTCGCGATGGTTTTGCGGTATCTGTCGATCAAGTAGAGTGAATGGTAGTTGTGCTGTCATATTCTGTGGAGGCCAGCTTCAACTCTCAAACGACAGAAATAAAGACAAATGACTTGATGAAGAGGAGTGTTGTCTTTACACGACGACAAGAATTGATACAATGTCGGCTCTAATCTAATAAATTTATCATTTCCCATAACGACAGAAATAAAGTAATGGATCCTGACCCAACAAAGATGATTCTCTTTGACTAACAAAATGACCATCCTGTCCCTGCACCACGTCACGTCAAAAAGCAATTGAAGCAAAGTGCATGGTAGTGTGTTGTCATATTCTTTAGAGTAATTATGTGTAAAAAGTCAAAAAGAGAATCAAGCTTTTTTTTTTTAATTTCAAAAGGAAAACAATTAGTGGTTAGTTACAGTTATCCATCATTTTCAAGAACGGAAAGATTCACACTGGTATTTCAGCCTCATCCTAATCACAAATCTGACCCTCAAGCTCCCCAAAACCACTACGGCCCTACCCAATCAACTGGGCTCCAGAGAGAGCCCGACAAACCACACGGGCTATAATAGCCAAATTTACTGACTAAGGTGATCCAAAATCACGTTGTGTCACCTGATGAGCCACGATTTTAATTTTTTTCTAAAAAAACTAATAAAAATAATTTGAAAACTTTGAGTTTTAATGATAAGGACAAAATAAAAGGTAAAATAAATAGTACCAAGATTATTTTTTAATATAAAAATATGATTTTTCATTAAAATAAACAGAATCAAAAAATTTTAATTAAAATTCCCTTTTTTCTATCAGGCACGGGGCTTTCAAGTGCGGAAGGAGAGTGAGCCGACCAAAAGCAGGCAGCAGAGCCACTTGCAGGCGCACTTAGAGCCCATCCCAACGGCTAGAACACATGTCCAAACTCCATAAACAAACATACTAAGGCCTTCCACTGTAAGTGGAAAAAAAAGTCTGATACCGATATATTAAACTCTTCAGGAATTACTCTCATAGTGTGCCGAAAAATATGAGTGTAATACCAATATATTAATGAAGTCCAAGTTCAATAGACGTTAAACAAACAAAAAAATTGACCTCGTACATATATTTGTCATATTCCATTTTGGTCCAGAATAAGAGGCATATGATGTAATATGGAAGCATGAAAATTGAAGCAACATATTTTTACGAGTAGCAAATTTCAAGTCCATCCCTTAAAAGCTTATACAACCGCAACAGAGAAATAGTTACTTGTAAAATGGCTACTGAGTTTCATGGTAATTTGGCCATGAAATACTTAATACTTTTGACCAGAAACTGCCACTAGAGATGGCATTGCACAATACCGCCAACCTGGGCAGCCAGGACAACCAGTTCCCAGAATTCTCAGCCTACCTTAATTCTAAAATGCTAATTCACAAAACCTAATTACTGAAGTCTCTCACTCGCCCTTTTTCCGGGCTTTCATGGTCGTCTTCAATAGTTACTTCTGTACACTTAAATGGTAATCTGGCTAACTGCGCGGCAGCCACTTCGAAAGATATGCCTAGTTTCTTTGAATACGAACCCGAATAAGGACATGAGCATACATCTGCACGCTCAGCTTGTTACTTTTTATCCCTAGGGATTTGGTGTTATGGTAACATGGGATCACCGGCTGATGCAAGCATCTGTAACTCGGCTTCCTTGGCTGCCCTTTCAGCAGTAAAATCTACTCTAGCATCACCTGCATATACTAGCGAATAAATAAGCTTTTCATCCACTTATGTTCATAACAAAATTACATCAGGTAATTCCAGTAAAGTAAAATGATTCTGGAAACGAGAGTTGACATTGGAGTAACACTACGTACCAAGAGCTTGGCGAAGCCCCTTCACAGCATCAAAGTTCTTGTATGTGTAGCCAACAAAGCTTAAATCTTTGGGAGTCATTTGTAACTGCATGAAATTATAAGGTGATAAGGAATACACATTGTACATTTATAATTTTATACTAAATTATAAATGCCCTAAAAATGTCGCATGAGTTCTCATGAACAGGCTATTGCAGATTTTCGTGGATGCTCTGGAAAATAGACATGAGAACACTATAGATAACAAAGGAGCAAGGACGTGTTGCCTAATAATGCAGAATCCTTCTGAGTTCTGAAAATAATGTTACACAAGATGACATATAAGCAAAAACCAACTGAGATTGATTTTTCAAGCAAATTCTCCTCTCAGAATATTAGAAACAGACTCATTGGCATCAAACGGCACTAATGCGAATTTCATGGTGGCTGGCTAGAAACAACAGTTTTAATTTGGCATTACGTCATCTCGAAGACAAACATAGATAAAAAGGCCTACGCTATGATGTTTTATTTTTCCTACGGTAGTTCTCTTAGCTCTGGTGCCTTTTTAACAAAGGGAACCCAATATTGAGAATTGGGCTTTCTCTTCAAAAGAACTGATGATCATAATGCCAATTGATTATGTAAAGTATTACATATCATGTCTTATAGAACGTGTATTGCATATCATGAGTAAATAGACAACATCACAGTTACAAACCTTTCGTGAAGATCCAGTTCTTGTAGACGCTGGTGGGTCCAACTAAGCACGAATGCAAAAGATGTACGGAAGTCAATATTTGAATAGGTTTGCCAGTAATGTAATGACGCTTCTACATGTCATATGAATGAAAGTGTACAGGAGCTAAAAAGTAGAGTTCAGTTGAACTGTTAAATTGTTAATTATAGAAGTGATTGTAGAAGTGTTAAAAAAAAACAATAATGTTGGTGAGTCGGTGCAGAATATGAAAAACAAATAAACAATGATACAAGAAATAAAAGGATGATCTTGTAAGATACCTCATCAAACTTCATAAAGTTCTGGGTATCAAGCTCCCCATTCACTTCTGGTTTGAATGCTGCGTCCATTTCATAGAGTTTGTCCCACACAACGTCCTTGAACCAAGGATGAGACTGATACAACATAGTTTTTAGAAACTTAAGACAATGAAAATATTCCATCAGAGGAACAACTTATTCAAATAGGAGAGCCTTACTTTGATTTGAAGTGCCCCACCAGTACCTAGCCTATGTTCAACATCACACAGCAACCTGCAAATAAGATCCTTAGCCTCAGCTGTCAACCTTGCGTCTTCTGGAAACTTTAAGTGGTTTCTCCAATGAACAATCTGACATAAATTGACAAATAGAGTGAGTGACTTTGTATGTGAAACTGAAGTGACCTTAGCTCAAACCTACGACTCACCACAGAAACCTTGCACTCAGAGTTACATGAGTGTTAAGCATATTACCTTTCTGCATGTAGTTATTGGATCATCTGAATAAAATGGAGGGTAACCAACAAGCATTTCGTACATTATTGCTCCCAATGACCACCTAAATACATCAAACAATACATATCACAAACACAAAGATGAAAGAAGGCGAGAGAAAGCAAAAAAAATTAGCAGTATAAACTTACCAGTCGCATTCCATCCCATATCCTTTCTTCAATAACACTTCAGGTGCAATGTAGTCGGGTGTCCCCACAGTTGAAAATGCCTTTAGAAGAAGGAAAGAAAACAATAGAGTGAGGGGAAAACTTCTAAGGGCTAAGGCTAAAGATGTACTGCAAAAACCAGTCCATAAAGATGATAACATACCAACTTTCTCCTGTTCATCTGCCAATGTTGCAGCTGTTCAGCAGGGCTTTTCCAACTACTCCGATTATCCGCATCAGGAACGCATGTGTCGATATCCATTGGTTCTGTCATATTTTCGTCATCCATAGTTCTATTTTCATGCAGTGCAGGTAAAGTTGTACAGTCAAGAGGCTTACAGAGGCCAAAATCTGAGAGTTTCATGTGACCATTTTTATCCAGAAGCAGGTTGTCTGGCTTAATGTCTCTGCAAAGGCAGCAAAAATGAAGTGGTGAGACAAGATTGCAACTTAATATATCACCTAACAAATATTCTGGTAACAAAATAAAATATTTAACAACATGATATTTGTAGATTTCTTCAACCTGTGTATGTAGTTGTGTTTCTGAATAGATTCTATGGCCAGTACGCTCTGTGCAATGTAAAATTTTGCCACACTTTCAGTTAAGGTGTCTTCCCTAATCAGCAGAGTCATCATGTCACCCCCAGGCAGATATTCCATGATTAAGTATAAGTACTCTGCATCTTGGAAGGAGTAGTATAGTTTAACTATGCAATGGCTGGCAACTTCTGCCAGCAAGTTTCTTTCAGCTCTAACATGTTCCACCTACAAGGCAAAATGAAAATACATCAACAGCAATATTTCCATGATGAAAATCTCGGGACGAGTTCCAGTGATGGGTTTGGAACAAAGTCGCATATGTGATCTTACCTGTCCTCTCTTAAGCATTTCAGATTTCTTCAACTTTTTCATGGCGTAGATATTGCCAGATTTTTTCTCCCGACACAATCGGACCTATAGTTTGAGAGTGAATAATTAGCAACCATGGCTAAAGCATAAAATGTAACTTCTAGCTAACATGAGTCCAGTGACCAATGAAAAGTTTAATACATTCTTGAGTCCAGTGACCAATGAAAAGTTTACTACATTCTTTAGAATACTATGTTAAATACTGACCTCACCAAAGGCCCCCCTACCAATGATGGTCAAAGGCTCAAAATCATCAACACATATCTTGTGCCTTTTAAGTCGCATAAATTCTGTCTCTTTTTGCTCTAAGTCTTTGATCAGGTTGATTTGTACCTCCTTTGGCACATCTGACGAAGCTAATTTCCTTTCCAACACCCAGCGTCTGCAGCAATAAGAATATAACGTCAGCTCCTTGTATCTGTGAACTTAAACATTAAAGCGGTAGCCTTGAAAGATTTCTCTAGAATATCTGAGTCTTGAAATTAAAACATGGAAAAGAAAAGAAAATTTCAGAAAATGAATACCATGTTCGCGGAAAATTGCAGTATGTGAGAGGAGAAGTTTCTTACTTTCCATTCTAGAACTTTAGCGTGAAGCTCTATCAAAAGCAAATGTAATAACCCCTATCATTAACCTCAAATTTTACGCGGCCTCTTCTCATTTGGGAGATTTCGGGAGAGAAGAACTGCCCTTGCTAGATAGATTGGATTGTATCAAACATATGACTATTATTGATCCAGACAAAGGGTAGTAGTCTAATAGCTGTACAGCCCAAATCAAACAAAGACAATCTAGATTACCAAATAAACACAATAACAAGTTCCGAACCCACATGGATCAGATTCCGCAAACCTCAATTCGTTTCCAAACGGAAACACTACCCTATTAGACCCTCATTTCCCCATGATTGTTGGTTTCCATCTTAAAAAAAATCTGACTTCTTTACTCACCCCCACATTTCCTCAACCCAAAACATTACAGAATATCTTTCAACCAACCAAAACACAATAACACCACACATTTCGTTCTTCCCACATTTTCTCAGCAACCAAACAGCAGAAATCGAAACCAATTCATGAAATGGCAACACCCAATTCAAACACCGAATAGTTTCACGATTCAGAGCTCGGATTACTACCCAAACTACATTATTCAGCAATCCAAACAGAGCCTAAGTAAGAAAATCCAGAAGCAATCAAAGCTACAGATTGCAGATTACCTCTCCTTCCGTTCCTGAATGTTCTTCATCTGAGCTCTGTAGTGGTTCTCTATGAACTGCTTGGCCGCCGCCACCTTCTCCATCGTCAAGCTCGACCCCAGCACCTCCTCCTCCTCCTCCTCCTGCTCCTCCCGATCCTCCATTCTTTCTCTCTCTTCACCCTCACGGTATCTCTCTTTCTCTCTCTCTCTCTCTCTCTAGAAACACAGAGTAATCGGCACTCCCGCTCTCCACAGACACTCTCCCTCCTCTGATAGAGCCTCGTTTTTATTGCAACGACGAGTAGATGACGAAAGAGAACCTCTCAGAAAATATGCCTCTCCCCTTTTTACACCCCAACCGCCATCGCTCGCCACGTGTACGGGCGGGACTTTTTGCTATGACTCGGGATGACGTGGCGGTGATCGATTGGAAGTTGATGGCGAGCCCACGAGGTTTCGAGGCAGAGGATGGCAGCTCTTTGCTTTCTTTATCAATAATTTCCAGATTGCTGCTGCAGGATGAGTGGCGCATTCACGCGCTTGGGAGTGGGAGTGTGACGCACTCCACGTTGTGGTGAAGTGTAGTTGTCATATTTAACGACACTACAACGCATTTAATCAGAAGGATAACAGGAGAAAATTTTATGTTGTACGTGTAATGATATAGGTTGACAACGTTATTTATATAATTAACTTTTACAATAAAAGGATGATTCTAAGTTAATAAGATTTTCTGCTTTGTGAGGTTTGGGAAAGAATATTTATTATACACAGATTTACTTTCATTTTACAAGAGGTTGTTTCTACTACTAAAACTCATAATTTTTAGTCACAAATGACTAATTTTTCCATTACACCTCGCTTCTTTAGTTTTATAGTATATTAGTAAAATTTAAATAAACATGCTAAATTTTGAATAAAATTACTAATATCACGTATCGGTATTTCTGTGCGGAAAGTTGGACCTCTCTAATGACAGCTCCTGTATTTGGTTGTGATTGGGGCGTGAAGTGCACTTGCAAGTAAAGGGACGTGGATTTGTTGGACGCCCAGGTCAGTGATGTAGCGGCTCTGCTTAAACACCCTGGACCTCGTTTTGTAATTACTGGGGAGATTCAATCCCCTGCGGACAGGTCTAGAATCAGAGAACCACTGTTTTTAACTCTTTTGTCTTTGTGGGTGATTTGGTCAAAGCGCATTTGACGGTAATAATTTAGCATGAATAATTCTACGATATGATAACTGGGTAAATAACTCCATAAATACAGAATCTAGGTTTAAATTGAGATTTGAAGAAAAGTAAATAAAAATTACCATGTATATAGACATATTATTACCACATCAAAAAGATAACACAGATACCGATGAAATGTAGTGAGTTGCATATGATCGGATACTTTAGGGATAATTTTGTATGATTGGAGAATGTCTCAAGTTTGACTCACACGTATACGATCATATGTTTGTAGTGACTGGCGAGTATAACAAACTCATCTTTTTTATGAACAAAGTGGTCCAAGGCCAAAGGAAAGGTTCAGATTGACAAGTTGAGTTTGGGTCAGGAGTAACAACCGTACACATAGGTATTTCAATTAATCGGATTTTGGTTCGAATAAACTGTAATAAACCAAATATGAAGGATGTTTTAGTTTAGTAATATAATTATAGATATATGACTTCTTAAATTCAGATGATACATGGTTCACAAAAAAAAATTAAGATGATACAATATTTATAATAGATATATAGGGTTTGACAAAATCCGTATGTGGCAGAATCCTAAAATATTCTAAAATAATACAATAAAAAGTTACATTCGTATAATAACTAAGAAGATTCTGAATTAACTAAATCTATTCTAACACTCCCCTTCAAACTGGACGAGCCTCGTCGAACGAGTTTGAAGCAACGAACACCACAACGAGGCTGATGGAGAGCTTTGGTAAGCAGGTCAGCAAGTTATCAATTGAAGAAACATAACAAATTGGACGACTGCCATGGGCCTTTTTCACGAACAAAATGATAATTAAATTCAATATGCGTGAGTACGAGTAAGATAAACAAGATTAAAAGAAAGATAAGCGGCAGTAATGTTGTCACGATAAAGTAAAACAATAAATGACACCCGAACCCCAAGCTCTTGTAGAATGTAACAAATCCATGTGTCTCGGTCTCGGCACACGCATAAGCAAGAGATTGATATTCCGATCTAATACTAGAACGAAATAATATAATCATCGACAATCAGATTTAATTCAATAAATATGTTCTCGGCCGTCAAGATAGTGTAATCCGATCCAAACCGATCCGGTCTAGAGGTCCACTTACGGGCATCCCGACCATTACAAGCCAAAACTTAGGGCGTTTCGACCTGGGATGCGCCAATTCGGTACTGTAAACTTGCGAAGTACAAACCAAACCAAACCAAACGCAAAGGGGGTTTTAATTAGTAAAGAAGGCGATCTCAGCTGAACCAGGTGGTAAAAGAAGAAGACATGGGCGATCCGTACCGTATATACTTCACCCCGCCCGAAATAGGTTCTCTCTTTTTCCCTAACCCTAATTCCACAATCTCGAAATTTTCAATTTTCCCGAACAATTGCATTCAATTTTCACTCACTTTCCCGCATTTTCTCAGCATCCAAACAGAAATTTTATTACTTTTTCATCACTCTTAGGTGGTTTATAATTCATGCTTGATTGGAAAGTTTGTGTGCTTCTTAATTATACGGTATAACTGTTAAATACAAGATTAAGGAAATTGGTAAATGATTGATGGGTGGATTATATTGTATTGGGACAGACAGTGTTGCGAGGCCAAGCTTTCCTGGCTACTTGTCGTCGGAAACACCCTCATTGCTATTCAACCCAACGATTCCTTCTACCGATACGCAGCGGAGTTATGCTTCCGATTTTCTGCAGAGAGATGTAAGACACTAACTTTTATGAGTTGCTATAGGGACTTGTTTGTGACTGCTTCGGTAGGAATCACATGTGCTCGTTAGCGCTTTTGCTAGAAGTGCTTTTATTAGAAACACGTCAAAAATTTTGTTAAAATCTAAGTGCTTCTAGGAAATAGAACTTTCAGTAGAAGTGCTTTATGACCCGTAAATGCTTTTAAGTTTAATCTCCCAAAGGCATTCAGAAGCGGTTTTCGTTGTAAAAAATCGAGTTTAGCCTTCCGGAAACAGTCCCAGACAAGCCCCAAGTATATGATAATGTTCATGTGTTAATGTATATGAATTATTATGAAGGAATTGTGGTCTTTGATCTGATTGCAGATAAGATCAATGACTACTGGCGCATATGCTGTAGATGATGCTGTGGGTCTTCGGTCTTGTCCTGAACCGGTTCTTGGTGCAACAGCAAGAGCTAGCACAAAGGGTTATTCATCGCTTTTAGAAGTTCCAAGACTGGAAGTTTCTGCAGTAAGCATTAGTCCAAATCTTCCTGCAGACATAAATTTAGAAAGGCCGGCTGGCTCTTCGAGAAATGCTGATGGTCTTCCTGTGAAAGGGGAATCAAATGTTTTGTTTGTCGATGGACTTCCCACTGACTGTACCCGAAGAGAAGTAGGCCGTATCCTTTTACTTCTAACCGTAGATTCAGAGTTTATTGAAATGGAAATGATCGTCGCTGAAATATGCTTATTATACTGCTTTGTTCTGTCATTTAAAAACCTTGACTTGCAACGAAGATATATTCCGTCCATTTATTGGCTTTAAAGAAATCAAAGTCATTCACAAGGAGCCTAGACGTGTAAGCCTTCTTATCTTTCTACTTCTGTTGAGTAACCTTCATAGATCTCATTGCAGACAAGCTACGTGTGATCTAGCAACTACTTTTTTCATTGAGGGGCACACAGTTATTTGTTGTTATTTCTATCAACGTCCTCGTACTTTACTTTTGTTCGAGCTTCCCTCAGTGTTTACTAGACCTTTACATGAACTGCAGAGTGGAGATAAGGCTATGGTTCTGTGCTTTGTAGAGTTTGCTGATGCGAAGTGTGCTCTGACTGCTATGGAAGCTCTTCAAGGTATTACATGAGCAATTAACCATGATCTATCCATGTACGGCATAAATGTGAAATCAATATTCCAGTTATCAATATACCATAGACCTCTATAACCAAATTTTTTAAGGAAATTGTACGTTATATTCAGAAACCGATTATGTAACTAACCTTTTATGGTTTAGAATCCCGTTTAACGGAATGAGTTAATTGATAAAGCTTCATTGTGTCTAGTAATTTGAGGAAACTCATCACTTATCAACCTATGCAATGTGGACGCATGCAGGTTACAAGTTTGATAACAAGAAACCCGAGTCCCCTGCATTGAAGATCCATTTTGCACATTTTCCATTCAGTCTACCAGATGATGGCAAAGAACAAAGAATTGGAATCCCGCGGTGACAGAAAAATGGCCTGAGATGAAATCTGCGGCTTGCTGGAACCTGTTTCGTGATGTTTTCGGTAGGTCTCAACTTACTATTTGTATACTGTGATGCTTTCAGTGACGTCATTGAGCTATAATACTGTTCGAAAGGTAAGTGTTAAGCATGGAAAATGCCTCCTACTTTGGGGAACTGATAGCTGGTCTTAATGACAATGACTTGATATCATGAAAAAATTAAACGTCGTTTTGCCCTCGATTTAACTATCACAGATTCTTAAACTAAATAGACTAGTACAAATTGATTAGGAGAAAACAACCTACAAAGTTGGTGCGAAGCGGGCGAGAATCTTGCATACAACCAGGGATGCGACGAAGCATTATAGGAATTCTCACGCCTGGTGGAATGAGACATGAGATGAACCGTAGGGCTATTGAACTAGGGCAGTTCTCACGCCTGGTGGAATCGGTGAGGTCGGTATGTACTCAAACATAGATGTTCTCACACTTTTGTGACAGGTCTCGAACGAATAGAGTGGTCAAACAACTCTACCGAAGTTTTTCTCGTGAGACAGGTCATCCAATGAAAAGAGTTCACATTACAAATACTAAAGGGAGTACACTGAACTCATGACGCAAGATACAAGATGGAAAATCACGCAAAATAAATAATTTATGTTCTCTTATATGGCAATTGGAGTGTAATCTCATGCTACAGCACCGTGTTTCTGTGTTCTTGATGTATATAACTTAGCTTATAAAAAGACTACTACAAAATACAATTCATCCATTTGTGTAGAGGGGCAAAGTATACCTTTTACAGAGAGCCCTTACACACAAATTACAACCAATAACCAAAAGAATAATAATTTTGAGAATCTCTGCTTCTTGCATTGCACGTGTCAGATTGCGATTTCCAAATGTAAGGAGCCGAGCGGTGTGACCTAAAGGAAACTAGTGCCCGCCAGGCCATGGTGCAATAGATTATGGGCAATGGCATCCCTAGCCTTCATCGAGCTCGTCGACCTAAGAGCGACCTCCGGGACCATCTCGTCGTCGATGAGCTCGAACCGGAGCTCGGGCTCCATCTCCTCATTCCTCAACTCACAAATGTTGTGCAAAACACAGCACGCCCCGAGAACCACCGGCAAGTCCTGCAGCTTCACCTCCGTCCTCTTCTGCAAGCAAAACCACCTTCCCTTCAACCTAGCAAACGCATCTCTGGCCACATTCTGAATCTCCCCAATCTTCTCGTTGAAAGCGTGCTGGGTCCACGTTAGGTTCTGCTGGGTGTAAGGCACCAGCACCCAGTCCATCAAAGGGTACCCAGCACCCCCAACAATCCACACGTTCTTCAGCAAACCGTTATTAGCCCTCTGATTTAACGCCGATTTCTCCAGCACCTGATCATCCGGCATTGATCCTGGCCATCCGATGCACACATCGGCAAAAACGCCTTTGGGGTCCACCACGCCCTGCACAGTAATCGAGTACGAAGTCTTCTGGTTCCTCTCCGTGTGCCGTTTATTGAAATATGCAGCAACGCTGACTTTGGGTGCGATGATGGGTATATGCGTAGTGTACATAGACCCAGCAACGTTTGGAATTCCCGAAATACCCTCGAACTCGTCTTTAATTTTCCTCGCCGCGCTCTCCTCCGGCCACTGCAGGTACTTGGGCATCAGCACCGTCCGGATCGCGGAGCAGACCTCAAGGACGAGCTTGTGGCAGGTCGAGATGCCGAGTCCGAATCGTTTCGACACGAGGCGGAGCGGGTCGCCGGTGGCCAGCCGCCAAAGGCACACCGCCACTCTCTGTCGCACCGGAATCGCGTTCCGCAGCGTCGTGTCCTCCTTCGCGATGGCGGAGTTGAGCTCCTCGCATATTAAATCGAACGTGGACTTCCCCATCCGAAACGCCTTTTTGAATTCCGAATCCGGAAAATCCGGCTGGTTGCACTCGTCCCACCACGCTTTCGACCTGTCCTTGACCCACAGCCGCCGATGGTGACCCGACCCGACTCCCGGTTTACCTTTTTCGACTCCATCAGCTTCCGCCGACACCGCCGCCGTCACCACCACCGCACAGGCGGCGCTTCTTGATTTTCTCCGCTTCATCGTTTCGGATTCTTCCACCTCCGAGTAGCACTCCTGCAAATCGGAGTAGTACTCCAGCATGGCCTTGTTCCTCTCCTTGTGCGTCTCTTCTATTAACGACGCGTCGTCATTCGATGCCCTGTCGTGGTCGCGCTCGTCCTGCTTCTCCTGCTCTTCGAGCAACGACAAGGAGGCGATTATTCCCTTGAGGTCCTTCTTCTTCTTCTCGCCGCCGCCGGTGTCTCTACGACGCCGCTTCTTGGCGCTTCCGTTCTCGTTCATTTGCGTGTGTAGAGAGTTCTGGAGGAGGGAGTAGACGGTGGCGTGGTCTTCAGCTGCTGGGTCTGTTTGGAGGTCGAGTTTCATATAAGGTGAGATTTGCAGACAACAACCATAACAAGGAAATTGAGGAAGAAGCAGCAGCAAAATAGTAAAAAAAGAGGAGAAAAGGTGTTTGGCTTTTTTGAAATATGAAATATGCAAGTGTGAACGCGTAGATTGACAAGTTGAGAAAATGTGGAGAGGAAGGAAGAGGATCTGTATTATTTGTATAAATACGACTTATACGTCACTACCTGTTCCCATTACAATAAGAATATAAGTCCAACGCTGATACATACAGATGAGGGAGATGGAGGGATGGATCATCTATCACTGTAATGATTAACAAGTTAAGTAATATTTAATTACGAGTAATACATTTTTTCAAAACGGAATTAAATAATAGTTTCGTCAGAACAGTTTTTTTTTTTTTTAAGTCGGAAAGTCTTACAGATACATCTCAGTCTCATCTTGATTAATGTTATGTGTTCTACAATGTCACAGATCCAACTCATGACGTATCGTGTGTATTACAGGCTTAAAATTCATATTAAACAACTACTAGACTACTTCGTGGTGGATTTAGCAATTCTAGAACCATCAGTGATGCATAAACCCATGGATCCCCTTGTAACTTTTTTGGAAATACTACCTAAATGGTTTTTCTTTCTCGTTAACTTTGAGTAATACTTTGATCTTTACATGTAGTAAATTTACGAGATCAGGTTGCATTCGATGTAACATAAATGAACAATTAGGATTTAAAGAAATAAATTCTATATATTCAAGAGTTTCGCTGAAATAAAACATTTGTTGTGTATATTAATGTGTCAATATATTATTGAATCATTTATTGTAAATGGCCATATACTAAAATAGTAAAGAGATGAGTTATTTTTTTTACTATAGTATGAGTTCGAACTCAATCAGCTCGTTAATCTAAAATCTAATATAATGAATTTATTATCTGACCAAAAAAAAAAAACTAAACCAAGGAGTAGCCTTTTAATTGAATGTTAATTAAAGATGAGTGGAAACACTTGTAAAATGCCTAGAAAGTGGATTACAAAATAATTAATTAATGGGGAAGGACTGAAAGAACATGGCGTGTACGAAAACCGTTGACTGGGGGGACGCTGTGTGTGAAACGTGTATAAGAAAAGGCGCGGGGGTGTACAGGTGGCAGGTGTGAACGGGGGTTTAAGGATTGTGGCGGTGGTCGGTAGGTTTATGACGGTGACATTGGGATTACCTGCCGACCTTTTTTTTAATATTATTTATTTTCTCTTTCATTTTTGGGCTTAAAGGGGTGTGATTGGAATTTGGAATGTTACTTTGCTGGAATAAAAGAACACCAAACTCGTGCCTTTTTCACAATTTTCACCAATCTTTTGGAAAATGCGTGTGTTGGCCATGAGAAATGGGATCATCAATTTCGTGGGCCAGCCAGATATTCTGATGTGAGTAATGTTAGGTAGATTAATTTTTAAAACATAATTTATAAATTATGTTCTGTATATTAATATAAAATAAACAGTCACGTCGTGTGGTTTGCAAGAGAAAAGAAATGTAAGGAGACCCTCTCAAATGAGACTTTTGATGGACTCTCTATCACCTCTTATTGTTTAAAATTAATTCTCGCGTTAACATTATAAAATATTGTACTAAAAACATGAGGTGCCCAGAAATTTCATGGAGTCTAGTCTTATGGAGAAATGCTAAGGAGATTCACTCAAAGTTGGGCTTTCTATCACCTCATGTTTTAACGTGAAATTCCATGCTAATATTATAAAATATTATGCAAAAAACATGATGGGAAGATAATCTATGAAGAGTTCCACTTTAAAAACATCCTTAACATTTTCTGATTTACAAAATATTGTTTAAATATCTAATTTTCCCGATACTACTCTTCAAATGTAAACAAAATGTACAGTTGATTGATTAAAGCAGTGTTCACATTAAGTTATGACATACGCAATTCGAATGCGACTACACAAAACATGGATTTGGATCCTCTATTGAGCTAATGGAGAGGATCCTCATGATCAAGTGTTATGGACCGTTAGATTTTCATTCAACGGCTATAATTATATTAACTTTAAAATGACCCACCTGTTTGTAACCGTTCAATAAAAATCCAACAGTTCATAATATTTGGTCAGGAGGATCCTCTCCATTAGCTCTGGAGAGGATCCAAATCCACAAAACATGTATCGTGCTTTTGTGAGGTTGATTTTATTCATTGTGTGGTCAGGCTTTTATAAGTCATGTCGTGCTACATAGATGTGCATGGTTAATTGGGGAATTCAGTTGCATGAATGATTGGGAGTTGTCATTGACAATCAAACTAAAGCCTTACATTTAATAAAAAAAAAAAGCAAAACAGTGTTTATTTCATATCCTAATATCCTATCGTTTAGTTATTAGTTACATTTTCCACGAATATGAATTTCCAAGAAAAGCAAAGTTATACATCCCATAATATGAAGATTGGTTTGGACCAAGATCTAAAGTATCGTTGATTTCGGAAATATCGGTAGTCTAAAAACACGGAAATTTCGATGGAAATATCGGGATATTATCGATATCGATAAAAATTGAATAAAAACCACGGAAATTGTAAGAAAAACTTGGAAATTTTTATTGAAACTTTGCAGGATGTTTATTTAGTCAATTATCTATTAGTTTATCACAAAAAATTGGAAGGAAATGCATTGCATGATGGATTTAACTGATTTAAGTTGATTATATAGCGAGCTGACAAACATTGTGAGTTTAGAAAATATGTAGTAATTAATGAAAGAAGTTTAAACACACCATAATCATTTATATATAATGAATTAGTACAATATTTTACACTTTATACATTGCATGGTAAGATACATGAGTGACTTAGTATCACATAGAGTTCCTATGAGGTTCAAAATTTTCCCTATCTTCATCATCTCTATGTGTAGAGTAAGTGTATTATGAAGAGTAATCATCAAATGATAAATCCCCAAAATAGTTTTGCGTGTAATTGTTAACATGCCACTCGTATGAAACCAACCACCACTACTTTTTGTCTTGTCAAAAGTTGGCCCGTTTGGGGGATTTATATTATATATATATATATATTATATATATTATATTATGTAACTTATCTTAACACACACACACCACTGCACACACACCGACACACACGCACACTGAATTATTATGTTTATTTTATCAATATTATCCCGATATTACCAATATTACCAATATTATCTCGATATTAACGATATTACCGATATTATCGATATTATCCTGATATATTGATGAAAATAAGGTGGATACGTGTGAAAATATCCCCCTCTTAAAAAAAACAATATTATCGGCGAAATATTGCCGATAATATCGATATTTAAGACCTTGGTTTGGACTAGAGTTATTGCTTGTGCTACAAGATTAGAAGAAATTGAACTTTAACGAAAAACTATCGGTACTGTTCATTTTAACGAAAAATCACATTTTTACACTAAAAAATTAATCATGATACTATTCACTTTACCTTTTATTTTATCATTATCGTTAAAATTCAAAGTTTTCAAACCATTTTTATTAGTTATTCTTAAAAGAAAAAACGGCATAGGCTTTTCAAACTCTTCTTTACTCTTTTGGATTAGCTACCAAGTTCTTAGCGTATATTTATTTCTCATGTATTTAATAATTTTAATTTTTGGAACATTGTACGCATAGTACAAATATATACAGTTGGCTAGGGCCCCACAAACTAGCAAATTCAACAATGTACACGAAATTTAGATTTTTTCCGAATCTTGTAGTTTAGAAATTTAAACTGTTCAAAAGAGGGAGAGAAATTCAAACCCTCAATTTGTGTGAAGTGTACTGGTGAGATTGGCTAATGAAAGTTGTAAGATTTGAAGTGAATGGTCCGGATCTCTTGATTCATAAACTCCTGAACACAAAATTAAAAAAGGATTTGAGTTCAACATACACTAACTTTTGACCACATTTAAATTTGGTTACAATTTAAATATTTTTTCATGGGTAGTAAGGTAACATGAAATTGCTAAATTTCCCAAGGAAAAACAAAATTTGACACAAAAATTATAAACAACAGATAGTCTGTTGTATTTGACCAAAAAAAACAAAGATTGTAAGTTGTAAGAAAAAGGCGGTCCAACTAAGGAACATTGAGGGAGGACATGTTCCAACATTGTACTCTTCTAAGATTCTTGTTCACATTCAACATCCAACAATGGATTGGTAATTACGTTGGCGACCATTGCCTTAACCAATTTTCTTTTCTTGTTCAAAGTAACGCCCTCGTCCTTGAAGTTTGAACGGAGTTTCACTTTAATTTTCCTAATTTTAATTGCCGCAATTAGTTTATGTAATTTAATAATTGCCTCAGCTTAAGAACAATGGTGTGACAACTTATATAACTAGAAATTGAAAGACGTGTGTGACATTCTTACACCTATAAATTAATAAATCTAAATTGTTGTCCTTCAATTACAACAATTAGTAAATTACAAAGGTTCAAATCACGATAATCAAACTCCCAAGCATCGAAATGAAACTTTATCCAAATTACGAAATTTTTTCAGTGTGCTAAAAATACAATCCAGTAAACCAAGTGTCATAATCCAGTTAGAATATATTGTTATAAGTTTCCAGTCAATTATGACTACAGTCGGTGCATTGTTGCATATGCAAAGAAACAAGACATGGCTTTTGCAAGTTGGTCGGTCTAACAATGTTTACCTGGTCAAACATCGCTGATATTTCTTTGATTCTTGTTGCCAAAGCAGGTGTCAGATGTTTGATATATCATACATACATTTACGTCTGCGTCTAGAACCTTTGAAAATGTTAAGCCTGCAAAATTGGAAATGACTTGCTAGGACACCACCGTGTCGGTTTTTTAAGCCAATAACCAACTACCACGTGGCAAAACTAGCTCCGTGATAATGCGTTATTTGATTTAAAAAACCACCGCAATGACATCCCGAATGCAGGCAAATAGATGAGAGAAACAAATTTGACCTAGCTTAACAAGAAACTTGTGCATTTGATTTTCTTACAACTGCCTCGTTAAGAATTTAAGACTTGTTTGAGGTATATACAAAGAGAAATACATCAAAACTGTCGAACCTAATATTGAGCAGAAAATATTACAGTAGGTGACGGCAGCGAAAGCACCAGCTACAATACAGAGGAATACATATGCAGAATCATGCCTTCGGCTGCTCTGGTAGGTCAGATGACCCATAGAGGTGTGAGATGAACTGTTGTCGAACAATGTGGCTCAAGATTTCAGCGGGCAGGCAGCGTAGCAAAGACAACGGGATGAGTTCTCATAGCTTCGGTTCGGTCTCAAATATTAGGACATGGCAGAGATGAGATCAAGTAAGGGATTTGCCAGCCCATTCTAGCTCTCGTCGCTTTTGCTTGGCTTGCAACCGGTTAAACTTCTCTTTCCCCTTCTCCAAAAGAGGGTCATGCACGACGTAGTCATTTAGGTCCTCACTGCGAGACATGTGATCCTGCAATGATTTACAGGAAAATTTAAGCCATGGGGAAGCACAAATTAGATAAATAGCAAACTGATATTTGTTCGAAGAAATGAGGAAGGGAGATAGTAGCTAGTTACTGTTATATCACTCCAATGAAATGGCATAAATACATATGAACCTATGAATCTTACCTTCCCTTTCTCAGGAGCAAATTTTAACGGAACTGATTTCCAATCGGATAAGTCTTCATCTTTGCCACCTCCAGATTCAATACCTGGGGCTGTGCCCTTTTCGAATACTCCCTTCTTAAACTTCTCAAGTTTTGCGAGAACCTAAAAGCATCCAATCCATAAAAACATGGTTATAAATTCACACAAAGTATCTTCTAAAAAAAAAAACCACAAAATAAACGGGTTTTGACATTTTTTACTAACTACTTTATAAATAGAATAAAAAAGTGAATCAATTGGCCTACTCCCAGGGCTGAAGGGAAGGCAGGGGAGTAAAGAGGTAAATCGAGAAAACAATACATAAAAAGGGCCAATAACACATACTTCATCTTCTCGTCCTTGATTTCTACGCTTCCTCTGTTTCTGCAATTGTCTTCCTCTTTCAGCTTCACCCAGCAACTGTAAGTCTGCATCAGCATTTGCCATGCGCTCAGCTCTTGCCTCGGATCCTATCCCTTTTTTCTTCAAGGACAGCTTATCCACCTTTTGTTGATCATCATCAATGCTTTCAACATTGGACCTGGCAAAAAGGAGATTAAGAGATTATTGTGAAGATATTTCAGATGTTTTGTGTCTGACAGTGTCTGAATTCAAAATGTTTACCTTGACGTAGGTATTTCATGCCGCTTTGGGCTAGATCTCCCTGCATATGGATGTGGCAAGTTAAGAAAATGGACATAATATTATTAAGGCAGTACAAAGCATTGTCAAATTATACGGCAACCAATCATGCATTAATTATTCCCAATCAGGAGAAAATATAATACACCGAGGAGAATTAAATACCATTCTTCAGCTTTGGCTTTGGTGGGAGATCTCCCAAATCCGTTCGTTTCTTGAGTATTTGCTGGCGCATTCTTGCATCAAAGTTGGCCTCATCATCATCATCATCATCGCTATGATCAAGGGTATTATAAAATTTGGACTCTGAGTCTTTCTTGGGCTCTTCTTTCTTGGAGCTTAGAGCTTCTCTGACAGATAACTGTACATGCCTTGTTTTGGCATCAATGTTCTGCGTACAAAAACATTTGTCAAAGATAAGTCCCTTGGATTATCAATTTCTAAGTGAGAAAGACCGGAACATGCATATGTAGATTACCGATCACACTCAAAAAAAACAAATGGGCCTAAATTAGCAAAATTGCAACAGTTTTATATAAACAAGGCATCACAAAAAGGACGCCTGATAATTACCGATTCATTAAAAGGAACTTCGTCCTTCAGAAGACGAGGATCATCCAATACATCGTGGCTGCTCTTGATTTTGGTCTTGACAGCTGCCAACTCTCTCTCCTCTTCTTCAGCTTCTTCTCCAAATGAAAGCAAGTTCAGCTTTCTGCATTTTTTAAACAAACCATGCGCATAAGATACCGAAGAAGTGTAGTGACAGTTTAGATAACATATATCATGGCATAATACATTTTCTTTTCACAGACACAGGTGTACAAAAACAAAGTAACATTCACACAAACGCACACGTACACATTCCTTCAGGCAAGGAAGAAGCTTACTTTACAGCTTTCTTCTTTGTGTCTTTGTTGTCAGTATCATTTGTGGATTCCTTCGAAGGCTTTGCACGTACCCTTGGAACAATATCATCAAAAGGATTCCATAACACCTAAAACACAGATTTTGACAGCAAAAATAAAATAGAACAGGAAAAAAATCACATAAGCATATAGAAAGAGGAAAGCTTAAGGTTACTCAAGGACCAGGTTTAGCTACCTCTACTGATAGTATCCTTGGGGGTGGGTCCAAAGGCCGATCCTCCTTGTCAGTTTCGAGTTCACCCAACCGCACAAGATTATAGATTGAATCCCCAGTCACCTGAAAAACAATACAAACAACAAAAGAATGAGTTCGGTTGCTTGGTCTTCTATAAAGCTAAACTGCCAGTGCCGGAATTGAAGTTAATCATCACCTTTCCGAAGATGGTATGCTTCTTGTCAAGCCAATCACTCCGATCCAAGTTCATGAAAAACTGGCTCCCATTCGAATTGGGTGTACCGGCATTTGCACAAGCAACTAAACCCCTATGCTTGAATCTCAAACGCGAATGAAACTCATCAGGAAAAACACCACCGTAAATACTCTCACCCCCTGCAAAAATGCACCCAACAATTCAAGTTCAAAATTTCAAAATCCTAAATCCGAAGTAACCCAGATCACTATACTAATTCCTGAACCAAAATTCTCATTCTTTTTAGCAATTACCCAACTCAAGTTCAAAATCCAAAACTGAAGTAACCCAGAGAACAATACAAATCCACGAACCGAAATTCTCAATCTTTTTTTAAATTACCTGTGCCGGTGCCGGTGGGGTCGCCGCCCTGAACCAGAAAGCCTTTGATTATGCGGTGGAAGATTGTGTTGTCGTAGTATCCTTCGAGGCAGAGCTGGACGAAGTTCCTGACGGCCTTCGGGGCCTCTTTGGGCCAGAGCTCCACGTCCAGCGGCCCGTGCGTCGTTTGCAGCACCACCTTCCCCTTCGTCGGCGGCTCCAACACGTATATCGACGACATTGCTCACGGATTGAGGCGCTGCAGGAGATTTGAGTCCACTGGGGATTTGGGAACTCGATTGTTATCTGAGTATTTCTGGTTGGCTAATTGGGGGAGAAGGGTTTTCCTTTTTCGATTCCGCCGGTTGGTGACGACGTCGTTTTGGTGATATTTTGGCTTTTGGCTTCCGCGGATCCGCGGGCCTGAGATTTGGTACCCTTTGGAGAAGTTGGTATTTCGAAAAAATAATTTACTCGTTCACGTGTTAATATGTCATTAAGCTTTAGTGTAGAAGAAAAATTTATATGAAACTGAGGGTGTCATTTGGCAATGTGATAAAAAAAGTAAATCGAAAAAATATCATGCGTTCGTCCAATTGGACATTTGATAAAAAAAGAAAGATATTACGTGTTCAAGGTTTTTCACAAGTTCAAATTATTTCTCGATAACACATACCATTATTGAATTGTTCTATTTTCAGTACTATCACTTTACAAACACAATATTCAATAAGTTATTCTCATAGTGTGCTGGTTCAAGAGAGTTTTGAGAAATATGAGTAAGCAAAGTAGGGGTAAATCATAACATTTTAAGCGCATGTAGTAACTAATACTTGTCGAGTTGGTCTAGTCATTATGACATAAAACGTCTTATAAATGAATTATTTGCACACCCTAATTATTATTTTTTTAACAAACGATATTATCTACACTAAGGAGTGGGGGTGAGCTTAGCCTCGCAATAAGCTAGCAATTATGTGGCTCAAATTCGCCTTTTGCGATAATCGAACCTAAAACCTCTCACTTACAAATGAAAAAGAATATCAAACCCTAATTTTGAATAGGTAATCTTTTCTTCAATCAAGTTGCAGTGAATTTGAATTAGAGATCTCTTTTAAAATTAAAAAAAAATACAACTAAACTAAGAACTAGTCATTATTCTTTTAAGAAATAAACAAAATAGAGGTTAATCGTAATTGAATACTATTATACCAGAGATTTTTCAGTATGCCGGGAACACAGTCGGTACATTTAGTGTAATAATACAATTATTTGATTTAAAAAAAATTTAATCAATTGTAATATGATACTTAGTGTACCTATTGATGTTCCTGACAGACTGAATTGTTTTTCCTACTATACATTGTTTTATTAAGCCACTTGTCTCCCTGTGAAAAATTGTAAACATAGTTTGTAACTTGATAGCCAACAGTTAAGCCGAATACTTGTAATTTGTAACCTCTGCACAACATAGATATCAAACAACTACCAATCCTTGAACAAATTTTGTTCAACAAAAACATTTTTGTTCCTCTCAAAGTCCCATTTCCCTCTTTGTTTGTTTGACTTGTCTTAAAGCTTCAACAAAAATCCAAACCTAAGTAGAAGTCCTTTTATTTGGTCATGGCCAGGTCAAAAATTGCCTAAATCAAGCCAACGGACGAGAGTCGGTTAAAAGTTAGTTACGTTGCATTTTCCATGTTTAGCCAAGCATGTGATTCCACAGTTCCACAACCACACCAACAGAAGGCCTTAATCAGCTAACCTTCTTCCTTTCTTCTTTCCCTTTTCCTCTTTTCTTGCGTCTCAAGCTTTCCCGGAGCGGTGGACGTGGAGGGCGGTGCCATTGGCAGCGGCATTGGTGCGTGTTTGTGCTAGTGCTGCGCTAGTGGCGTCACGCAAAATGGCTTCCCATTACTCCTCGGACGACGCCGTTCCACCCATCAATGCAACCGCCGTGGCTGTCGACAAGGACAATAAGAACAGCAACTATGCCGTCCGGTGGGCTATTGATCATCTTGTAACCGCCGGCACCAAGCCGTACATCATCCTCATCCATGTCAAGCACAAAAACAATCGTAGGTACCCTCTATTTTCTCTGCTTCATTTTCGAAACACATTGTTTGGCCTTGTCAACGTGATTTCTTTGTTTCTTTTCGGAGTTACGCAGAGAGTGATGCTGATTCGGGTGATAATAATGGACGTGGTGTTTTTGTTCCTTACCGTGCATATTGCGCTCGTAAAGGGGTACGTACGTGCATCATTCCTATCACTAATGTGTTACGCGTAATATCGCTTAAAGGGTCTAATAGGTTTGATTTTACTTTTTCAAATTCTAGGCACGAGTGAAAGAGGTTATCCTTGATGACAGTGATGTTGCAAAAGCACTTTTGGAATATGTCAATTGCAACTACCTCAATATTATTGTAGTTGGTGCATCAACAAGGAATGCTCTTACAAGGTTTAAATCTCTCCCTCTCCCTCTCCCTCTCCCTGTTTCTCTCCCTCTCTCTAGCTACGTTCTGATGCTGTGGTTCTTCACAGGAAGTTTAAAAGTGGGAATGATGTGCCCAGCAGCATTGTAAAATTAGCGCCGGAATTCTGTTCTGTATACGTAATTCAGAAAGGGAAGATGTTGTCAACAAGAACTGCAAAGAGGCCAGTGGTTAATACTGCAGTTCCACCAAAACAGCCATCCTCCCAGGGACTTCCATATCATATCCCAGCAGATAATAATGAATTTGAAAACGGAGTTAGGTACGTATTTTAATTAATTCTCTTCAGGGCGACATGTTGAGAAAATCTCACTTCTTCTCAGTTTTCTTCAACTCTGATCTCTTTTAATTGCACGGTTGAGGTTTTTGCAAAGCGTCGTGTCTTTAAGTAAGACAAAACATCGTGCAGTGAGAATTTCTCTTATGCTAACAAGTTGTGGTTTTTGTAATGCTGTTGGTGGAAGCAGAGGACAGCCTGCATTAAGGGGAGGGTGGAAGGTTCCAGGACCGGACAAAATGCCTGCAGCGCGCGAGAGGACAAGGAGTGCTCCGAACAATCTCTTGTTGGATATTAATGTCGGCATGGCTAACCATACTGCAGCACGGTCTTCGCTTAGCAACCGCACTTCGAATGCTGATGAAAGTGACTTTTCAATGCCATTGTTTGGATCAGTGGATATGACAAACCAATGTTTCGACTTCTCTAGTGCATTAAATTCTCCCAAGGACTCATCCAGACATTCTGCAGTAAGTTTATCATAGTGGTTGCTTGTAGGAGAAGTTAATTAGTAACTTGGTAGCATAAAAATTTATAAATCAAGGCCTAGATAAAAGAATAATCTGGCTGTTAACTGTTTGATCGATTACAGCGGGATATGGAGGCTGAAATGCGAAGATTAAAGCTCGAATTGAAGCAAACGATGGACATGTACAGCTCGGCCTGCAAAGAAGCAATCTCGGCAAAAAATAAGGCTAACGAGCTTAGTCAGTGGATGCAGGAGGCGCGAAAGTTCGAGGAAGTGAAGCTTGCTGAACAGACGGCCCTTGCCGTTGTGGAAATGGAGAAGGCTAAGTGCAAAGCAGCTATAGAAGCAGCTGAGGCGTCGCAGAAGTTGGCGGAGATGGAAGCTCAGAGAAGAAGACAGGCAGAGATGAAGGCAAAGAAAGAGGCAGAAGAGAAGAACCGGGCGTTGAATGCTTTGGCACATAATGATCTCCGGTATAGGAAGTACACCATTGAAGAAATTGAAGAAGCTACGGAAAATTTTGAATCAGCGAATAAAATTGGTGAGGGTGGATATGGACCTGTGTACAAAGGCAAACTCGATCACACGCCGGTTGCTATCAAAGTTTTGAGACCTGATGCTTCTCAAGGGAGGAAGCAATTCCAACAGGAGGTATGCTATTGATATAATTTTGAGATTTGGAACATTACATAAACATTGTACTATCAGAAAATAAACAAAAAAAACGAAATGGTTATCAAACGGGATCATATTTTGTGTTGACATGCAGGTTGAGGTCCTGAGCTGCATTAGATATCCTAACATGGTTCTCCTCCTTGGTGCCTGCCCCGAATTCGGATGCCTAGTATACGAATACATGGAATACGGAAGCTTAGAAGATCGGTTATTTAGAAGAGGTAACACCCCCCCACTTTCGTGGAGGAGACGGTTCAAAATAGCTGCTGAAATTTCAACAACACTTCATTTCCTTCACCAAGCAAAGCCGGAACCCCTTGTACACCGTGACCTAAAGCCAGCAAACATCCTATTAGACCGGAACTTTGTAAGCAAGATCGGTGATGTCGGGCTAGCACGCTTAGTTCCAGCATCTGTAGCAGACGAGGTGACACAATACCACTTGACTGCAGCCGCCGGAACATTTTGTTACATCGATCCTGAGTACCAACAAACTGGCATGTTAACAACAAAATCGGATATATACTCGTTGGGGATAGTACTACTCCAAATCATCACAGCCAAGCCTGCCATGGGACTTGCTCACCATGTTAGGAGGTCCATCGAGAAGGGAACATTTTCGGAGATGCTTGATCCAGCAGTGACCGACTGGCCAATTGAAGAGGCTCTAGCGTTTGCTAACTTGGCATTACAATGCACAGAGCTAAGGAAGAAGGACAGGCCCGACCTTGGCACAGTTGTAGTGCCAGAACTTATCCGGTTAAGAGACTTTGGAAGGACTGGTGACACTACTCCTCCCGGGTTCAGTGATAGTCCAACTCCAAGCTCTGTGTCGCGTCCTTCCACATCAAGAACATCAACTACAAGTAGTCAGGTTTGTAACATTAACTGGTAGACTCGTTTGGACGCTGCTATTGAAGAAAATAAGAGAGGGAAACATGGGTGCATAATAACTATTTTAGAGTGCTAATAACAATTCTCATTCGTATTTTCTATTATAGTTTTTATCTGCTACCGTCTTAATTATGCTACATTGTTGAAAACCAGGAGCCACTGAATAAGAGTAGCTCCAGGGTCGGAGTTGAAACAGAGTGCCGAAGTACAAAGAAGACGAAGACAATTCAAAAGCACCCGTTGACGCGAGGAACGAAGGGCCGGAAAGCTAGTTACAATTGAAGAAGCTGAAGGAGTGTTTGTAGATAATAGGAAACTGATACCAGAAAAAAGAAAAAGTTGATATTCTTAGGCTTCGTTCACTGATTGGTTTAAGCTAATCTTTGGTGGGTTTGTGATTAGTAAATCATTGTTCTTTAACTTCTTTGTACTTTGTGTTCATGCTGTGCCTGTCCATAATCTTTTCCTTTTGGATTATAAGACGATCACTGCCCTCTGCAGTTGAAGTTTGAGAAGATTAAAGCGTGGTGACTCAAAAGGAAACCTGGAAGAATATATGTACTTAGCTGAAAACTGGAGGCCTAAAAGAAGTCGGTAAATTTTATTTATTCGAGCAATAATCTAATCAAATCTAATCTAAATGGGAGTGGAATTTGAACTTGGGTGTAAATGGGCCGAGAAACATACTACTTTAATCAACTTGGCTACGCACAAGTCTGCGCAGAAGCGGAGCCATGAAGAGACCAGAATGGTCCTGGGCCCATCCTGACATTTTTTTTTCATGCAAAAAGGTTTAGTATTTATAATTTTCAAGGTTTTTCATAGGCTTAGGCTCTAATCCGACGTTTTTACTTTAATTTCTTTAATTGGATTTGATTTGAGGTTGGTGGCTCCTATGGAGTTTGGGCAATCTGTTGCTTGTACTTTGAGGAGGACTTGGTTTTGGGATCAGTGGAGGGAGAGAGAGAAAGAAAGTCAGAGAGGCTTGGGATTTAGATTTAATGAAGAGGATGAAGAGGACGACACCATACCAGACCTAAAAGATGTTGGTTAGTTATTCACCGCACGACATAGTAATTTATGGAAGATCAGGAGAGCGTTTTAGATTGAGACATTTGGATCCCTTCTAAGCTAAAATTCTGACTCCGCCACTAAGTCTGCAGTTGAGATAGGTGATTAGAAGAGCAAAAGTTAGTGAAATAGTTATGAGATATCCTTATTCCAGTAAGAGAAGTCCATCTTACAAAGAAAGGTATAACTAAAGTCTAAGGAAGAAGGAGCATAAAGTGATTCCAAAGGTGGATTATGTTTGCAGAAAGGCATCAGAAAAACAGTAGAAACTAGAGGTAGAGGATTAGATTGTCATTGAAGCCTTTCTTAGGATTCCTTTTCCCATGAAATTGAAAGAATGCAAAAATACAGGCTCCAAATGACATGAAAGTAGCTAGCAAAATTAGCATCGGTACAAACTCCTAATTGAAATATAACTGGGGTACACTAAACAGATAATACCATTGCAATATGGGTGTGCCTAATTGAAATATAACTGGGGTACACTAAACAGATAATACCATTGCAATATGGGTGTGCATGAAAAAAAATGCGAACCATATGTAAGTCACAATTTAGTGTCATTTTACCGTCTGTTTAGTGTCACTTTAGTTTTTCTTCTTAATTAAAAATTTGTAACCGATTTTATTGGTGTGTATTTTTCTTGAGTAATTAATCCCCGTTCTACATATTTAATAAGAGAAGTATCTAAATCAAACCTTTTGAGGTGCCATACACACGCTTGTATAAAGGGCAGATAAGTAGAACAAAGTTTTCTCAAGGCCACACCATAACTTGGTCAGTTGTCAAGGGTTATGCCTCTGTCAGATGAGTAACTCCAAAGATCTAGTATCCATGGCAGGGAAATGGATTCCCCGGTCCTTCAAGGCGGCGGTTTTCGGGCTGATCATGTTTGCCGGGTTGACATATGAAGATCACACGGTGGATCCTGAGACTGGTTTACTATGCATCAGTGAATGCGGTACATGTCCAGTCCTATGTTCACCACCTCCTTCTCCTGAACTCGAGCCTTCAGGTCCACTGCCATCACCACCACAATCACCGCCACCAGTGCACCACTCTCCACCTCAATATTACTACATTTCTCCGCCGCCCTCACCACCGAAACAATCACCATCACCAACTCCCTCACCGCCAAAACATTCCCCGTCACCCCCATCATATTCTTCGAAAGGCGCTCCTCCTCCTCCTCCACGGTTTGTCTACTTCTACGACATGCCTCCTGCCGGTCCAGTGCCAACAGCAACAACGGGAACTGGAGTGGTGAACAACAATCCACTTCCTAACTACTTTTACACCTCCATGGCTTCTTCTCCTTCTTCTGTTCATGTCTTGCTTTTGTTCATCTTGTTAGCTCATCATCTTGTGTTTTCTTTTTGGTGAGAAGTATAGAATTAGACTGTTACTCTGTCATAAATTTCAGTTTTTGAATTTGTATTGCAATAGAGGCATTGACCAAATCCTGAGTGATATATAGAGACTCCTACTTGTATTTAAAATTTTATTTGTTAATTAATCTTTTTTTATGTAAATTTTGAAGGTGATTTAATTTGTGATCTAGTTTCACTTCGGGCGATAGAAATGAGGATCCGAACTTAGTGTAGATTGTCCTATATAGACAATAATCATGTATAAATCGATATGAAAATCTATTCAGAAATTAAATAAGTTTTTTCGTGATTTACATTGTCGTTTTATTATCAATTTACTCACGTTATAATACGTGAATTAATAACGCTCAGAACTATGTAACCATTACAATTACAAATTTCTCGAGCAGAAATAAGATAAAATGAAACTCAGTCATTCTCTATATCACTTTAACATGAAAAATGAAAAAAGGCAGTTTATTTTATTTTTATCTGCTTTCAATTTTTAATAAAACTGGAAAATCAAAAGAAAAAAATTACCTCTTAAAGTGGGCCCATAGAGGCCCAATAAGCCCAGCAAAAAGTTCGATCCAGATCCCAATCGCGGCAAATCAAACGACACGACAACAACCCCATCGAAACTGAGCAACGAACTCCATAGCAGCAGCAGCAGATCTGAAAATCTGCATTTCCCTCCGATACGTCCAAACTCCTAACCGGAGGGTCCGAGATCCGAAACCTCCATCCAATTCGGAGCTCCAGCATCCGATGATGGAGTCCGAAAATGCTGCCGACGACTCCTCCGCGGTGGCCAGCCTCCTCCCGTTGGCCTCCGCCTCCCAGCAACCCTACGTCTCCGAGCTCCTCTCCTTCACCCTCGATCGCCTCCACAAGGTTCTCCCTCCCTCCCCCTCCTCCCCCTCTCTCTCTCGCCTTGTTTGTTTGGTTAATTAGACTTAAAATTGATTTATTTTTCTCGGGTCGGGTTTTTAGGAACCGGAGCTTCTCCGGGTCGATGCGGAGCGAATACAGCGGCAAATGCAGGAGGTGGCGGTGGCCAATTACCGAGCTTTCATTGCTGCTTCCGACGCGTTGGTCGCAATTCGAAACGAAGTGTCTTCCATTGACAAACATCTCGAGTCTCTGGTAGTAATTAATTAACTCTAATTTATGGTTAATTAATTAATTAATTTGAATCTATGATGCATTTTTGTAATGCTGACTTGAAATTTTGGGTTTTGGTAGCTGGAGGAGACGCCGAAGTTGATGAATGGGTGCACTGAGTTTGTTGAATCTGCGGAGCAGATTTTGGAAAAGAGGAAATTGAACCAGACGTTGCTAGCCAATCACAGTACATTGCTCGACTTACTTGAAATCCCTCAGCTTATGGAGACGTATGTGTTTGAAAATTGTTTTGAATTGTAGCACTACTCTAGGTAGTGTAGATCCATGCTACATCACCCATAAGTTCGATTTGGATTTAGTTTTCGAACCCCAAAACCCGAAACACAGCATTCTTAAGTTACCCAATATCCCGAACAATGCATTATATGGATAGAAAAATGCCGTTTTTCTGAATGGGATTGTTTGATAGTAGCTGAGCATGATTATTCGGAATGTTGTGTTTCTTATGGAAGCTGATTGTGTCATAGGATAATTCTTGTATGCTTAATTCATTCCCGTTCTTACGCAGATGTGTGAGGAATGGAAATTACGATGAAGCTCTTGACTTAGAAGCATTTGTTAGCAAACTTTCAACCATGCACCCCAAGTGAGTGTTGCTGCCCCCTTATTCCCCTCATTAACCAATAATAATTTTCAACTTTGTGAAAGATTGTGTACTGAGGCTGTCTTTGTTGTTTTGCCTATTTCCTTTTCTGCCTCTGTAAGATTGCCCGTTATTCAAGCTTTGACTGCAGAAGTCAGGCAGACCACTCAATCTCTTCTTTCTCAACTTCTTCAGAAACTTCGTTCAAATATTCAGGTATTGTGTAATTCCTTGAACATCAGCTAGTGCACTTTTGATTTTTCGTTCACATTGATTACAAAATTTTAATTTTTTTTCTTCTGGATGTGTGTTTGTGCATTGCAGTTACCTGAATGTCTCCGTATTATTGGATATTTACGTAGAATAGGAGTTTTTAGTGAGTATGAAATGCGTTTACAGGTAAGGGATTGGTGTATTTTGCGCATTCTTTACATTTATGTATTTTGCAATGTAGAACGCTTCAAATGACATGTGTGGACATTCAGGCTTTTTTTTTGTCTGACCTTTTTTTCTTTCTGTGTTTTAGTTTTTGAGATGTCGGGAGGCATGGCTTACTGGAATTCTGGAGGATCTGGACCAGAGAAATGCTTATGAGTACCTGAAGGGGATGATAAATTGTCATAGAATGCATCTTTTTGATGTTGTTAACCAATATAGAGCAATATTTGCTGATGATACATCAGGCAGTGAAGAAAATTATGACGGTGGTCTTCTTTTCAGTTGGGCTATGCATATAATTACTTCACACCTTAAGACTCTTAAAATTCTGCTTCCAAAGATAACTGAAGGCGGATCTCTATCAAATATCTTGGATCAATGCATGGTGAGCGTCCTCTGTTATATTCATTATCGTTTTGCACATGCTCGCATCAAGCTATAAACGGAGATACATGCTTCAATATAGTTGTTTCTTTAATAGTCCATGATTTGCAAGATATATCACCATTCATTGAACTTTTCATTTACTTGTCACCTTTTTACATATGATAAAGCACCAAGGCTTCACTTCAGAGTATTATTGCTGGGCTGTTTATTATCCTGACTATATGAGACATGGAAATGGCATCAAATAAACATGTTTATGCTGCAGAGGAGTCTGCAATTTAAATGATATAAATTCGCCATATGCTTTTTACTCTTTACACCCAGGAATAAAATCTCGTAAATTGGTCATGCTAGTCCTATTATCATTGAAATTTAAGAGTAATACAAGCTCTGTTTGTTTATCTGATCTTGTTCCTTTTTTTTTGTTGACAGTATTGTGCTATGGGACTTGGTTGGGTTGGGCTAGATTTCCGGGGCTTGCTGCCATCACTGTTTGAAGAGTATAGATCTTATTCCCCCATTTTTCTTGACTACCATATACCTTAAATTGTTTTCCTCATTGTGAATGTTGACCTTGGTTACTTTTCCAGGGCAGTTCTCAACTTGTTCTCAAAAAACATGAGCACAGCAGTTGAGAATTTTGAGGTGAATGAATAATTCATGACTTGAATTCAGTGTTTCTATAATTAAAAGTGCAAATAATTTCTGTAGATTGAGGGATTTAAGTTGACATTGTGCTTAAATTCAGGTGGTCTTGGATTCACATCGTTGGGTCCCACTACCAGCAGTTGGCTTTTCATCGAACAGTCATGGTGATGAAAATCAGGATGATGTAACCCCGCCATCTTATCTTATGGAACATCCACCTCTTGCTGTTTTTGTTAATGGTAAGTGTTATATAAGCTTCTCAGCTAAAATCTTCTATGCTTAGTTGTTTACTGAGGAATTGCCCTTTTCCCCCCAGACTTCTCATCTTGTGTGCTTTGTTCCTTTTTAGTTGCCTACTTTAGTAAACCAAATAACGATCGATGGTCCAATATCATTGATATGGAGTGTGGATACTGGATAAGTTTCTTTCTGTCGTTTGTGACTTTTGGAAGAAAGAAAGTAGGTTTCCAATGGTTACTTGTATGAACTGCAAAACTGAATTGTAATGTGGGAAATATATATCATGGTTGCTCTTAAAAATAGTGTGTTAGTAGGTCCACCTATAGCATAATGCTCCAGAGGAATGGCCCAATTTCTGCTTTTTTCAGGCATTTATGCATATATCTCTTTCTTGTTTAGGCGTGTCTGCAGGGATGAACGACCTCCGCCCCTGTGCCCCAATAAGTTTAAAGCATGTGCTTGCTCAAGAGTTGATCAAGGGATTGCAGGCTGTTTCTGATTCTCTACTGCGGTACAATACAAATCGGATGCTGAAAGAACACGAATCTGGACTTTTCCTCTCACTTTGTCGAGCATTTATTGAGGTATAATATAAACAAACTCGGGCTACATATTGTCTGATATTTTCTTCATCTACAGACGTTGACATCCTCTGTACCTTACAAACACATTCGTAGGTTACTTACCCGCACTGTGCCACATGCTTTGGCCGCTGTTACCCTGGTGGAGCTGCTTTAATCATGGATGCAAAGAGTTTGTATGACGGGATTGGCCGCCTACTGACAGTCGCCACTCCATCAAGAGGACTCACGAAACCTGTTGGTGATGGAGACGGAGATGGAAATGAGAATGAGAATGAAAATGAAAAGAACGTAACTGAGAACGGTGACGTGTCTGCGGTAGAAAATGGGATCTCGCCGGTCGTTGAAGAAACCGATAATACCAACTCTGATGAGAGGGAACAGAAAAGCCCCACTTTGCAAACAGAGGAAGAGACGCACTGATCATGGACGTGTGTAGCTCCCATGTTTTGTAATTTTGAATATTGGCTCTAATATTTTGCTTGTAATTATTTGGCTCAAAGATGTTATATCGGAATTTCAGATGTTATATGATAGAGAAGAGAAACAATTTGATTGTAGAAAAACATCAGCAAATTAATAACAATTTCATACTGATTTGTTGTACCATCCTCCGTAACGCTAAATTTTCGCTTAAATTTTTCTTTCTAAGAGATCAAAAGAAATTATTGTTAGTCCGTGTCTGCTCTTTTATACTCAAAGTTCGAATTCCTTTTGGCCGGACATAGTTTTAGAATAAAAACGATACTATTACTTTAATTGTTTTAAGTGTTAATTAACGCTTTTTTTTAATAGTGTTTATACATCTATTTTTACCGTTATATTTAAATAATAATTCAATTATCAATAATCACGTTATATAATTTACAAAATTGTTGGCCTGCCGCGTATTGCCGTTACAAATTGCACTACACTGCTCCCGCAGCTGTCAAATCTCTCACTTCCAGTCGTCTCCTGCACCTCCAATTTCAACCGATGCACGTTTCCTTCGTTTCCAAACGAAAAATCCGATTCAAAGTTAACTGAAATTTTGAACAAAATAGTTCATAAATCGATGAATTGAAGCTGATAATTCAGTAGCAGTTTCAAAATTGAGCTTAATTTCATAAATCGATTGTAATTTGTTTGTTTCTTATCTTCGTTTTCGAATTCGGCTTATATGTATCATCTTTTGTTCGGGAAGAAGCTTTGGAGGTTATGGCGTCCACTGTCAAAGAAGCTTCGGGAGCAAGAGCAAGCAGCCCCAAGATTGCAGATTTACTCCACTTCTGATACTCTATCAACTTTCTGGAGAGGTACTCTCTCTCTCCCTCTCTCTACACACACACACACACACACACACACGCACACACATATATATATATATCTTACGTTTGATCATTAACCCCTTTTTTTCAGAAAAGTATGTAAAAGATGCCAGGAAGTACTGGGATGTGTTTTACAAGCGGCATCAAGATAAGGTATGTTTGTTGCTTACTTATTCGGTTAGTAAATTTCAGCGTAGCTATTTACTTCTGCGGCTTCCGGGCTCGAAAAATGGTGACTTTAGGCACTGCTGCATTGTTCTGTATGCTTAATGTCAGTTGCTTGGATCTGAGTTTTGATTTTTGCCGGTGCTATGTAAATCTAACTGCGAATTCTTGAATCAGTTGTTTAAATCTCGGCACTACCTGGACAAGGAGTGGGGCAAATATTTCTCGGTGAGGGAAGAATTATGTTGGAGATATATATGGACGTTTTAGTTTTGTTGTTTCATATTCATCCAACAATTCAGTAAGATTTTAACTTTTGTTTTTGTTTTCATCTGTTTGACTATCAGGGCGCTGGGCGGAAAGTTATTTTAGAGGTAAATTAGTGTGCTAGTCGTCCATGTTACTCTTGTTGCCTAGATATCTCTGTATCAGTCGAGATCATGTGGCACTATATCACGTGTCTGCTCAAATTGATTTGGAACAAGTATAGTTTACTTCTCTTTTGTGGAATAATTACTCGAATCAAAACGGAAAATGCCTCTCTTTTTTTTTCTGTCTTGTCTTGATGAACCAGAATCCTGTTTCCAGTCGTACTTTTCGCGTAAATTTTGTACACTCTTGTGCCAAAATATTTATCTTGGTTTGTTTAAAGTTGGTGATCTATTGTATGTTTCTCTATAGAGGATCTCTGACCGTTTTCCTGTCAGGATGTTATGTATTGGATTATTGATTACTGTTTTCACCATACAGGTTGTCGTCGAGCTGGAAACTATTTTCCCACTGGTTGCGATGTATGCAGATGTTTTTGTCCATGCATGCGATTTTTCAACAACGGCTGTTAACTTGGTTAAGGTGTGGTTTTCTTCTACATCTACTTGCTCATTCCATGGCAAAGGATATTTGATTGAATATGTTCGAGGACGTTGCTCATGTTTGATCAATAAAATACAAGTAGACAAAAAATAGTAAGTTCATTTTAGGTTGGTAGTTGGTACTGAATAGCCGTGACAAGTGATGCATGACGAGTTTTAGGTTGTTATCGCAGACACATAAAGACTTAGTAGATACCCGTGTTAGCGCATTTGTTTGTGATCTTACCATTGATGACCTAAGCAAGCAGATTTCTTCTTCGTCCGTGGATATTATAACCATGGTATATGAAGTGAACATATTGAGCAACTTTCCCAGTGGTTCAATTTGACGAGTGATCTTTTTTACTTAGTAAGGTTGCTGACTTGTTAAGTAGATATTTGTGTTATCTGCAGTGTCTCCAGAGAAGATGCCTATGTTATGAAGAATAATAGGAAAGTTCTCAAGGTAACTTATCTTATAAACTTTTATTTCAAGCAGCTCTTATTATAGAGTTAGTGTATGCCTCTTCATATCTGAAGAAATTTGTGGATTCCTCTTCCCCAGCCAAATGGTTGTGTGCTGTTTCGTGACTCTGCTACTGGTGACCTTGCTCAGGTTCATATATATGTGTGTGTATTTTGAAGTTCATCCTTATTATAGATTGATTTGTTCTTCCTTTGAAAGATGGTTACAAGATATTGAAGTTTACTTCTTTGTTAATGTAATGGTAATTGACAGGAAAGATTGAATTGCAAGGACCAAAAGATAAGTGAAATCTTTTATGTCAGGGGTGATGGCACTGAAAGTTTTACTAGCACGCGCTCGTACATTGAACTACTTTTTACTTTTTTCTTGGTTGACAAGCTTGGTTGTGATCCCTTTTTATTTTCCAGCACGCTTTTTACTTTTCTAATGAGTTATTGATGAGTTTATTTGAAGAAAATGGTTTCGATGTTGAAGAACTTGATTTGTGCTGCAAACAAGTTGAGAATCGGTCAACGGAGTTGGTTATGAATCCGTAAACGATCCTATTTTCACTAGGGTTGTAGGTTGTGTTCTGTATGTGGATGAGGTTTGTCACTTTGATTAAATCCTGCTCTTCCTTTGGGGTTTTTTTTTTTTTTTTTTTTTTTTTCTACTAATTCATCTTCCCCGATCAAAATGTAATTCTTGTTTTTTATTCCTGGCGTTGGGTTCAAGCCATATTCCGCCTTTCAGATGATACAAACTCCTCTACCAAAACAGAAGCAGCAACCGAAGTAGATCATCTTGGTCAAGAGAAAATCGTGCTAGAGGTCAATGAGAAGATCTTGAAGAAACCTGTGAATGATTTGGAGGTTGACATTTCTGACGGTGTAGTGATGGAAATGTCTGGTGTCTTACCTTCCAATGACAACGAGGTAAAGTATCATCTTTTTTCCTTCCAGAAATATGCTTAAATTTTCATAATTGTTTGCAGAACTAGAGCTTTTATTAGGTTGTGACTCAACTCATTTTTTGAAGACATTCTTGCTCGTAGGTAATTGAGCTAGAGCTAGGTGATTTGACTTTCAAGATAGAAGTGTTATCCAAAGTGGACCAACGCACATGCAAATCAACTGGTTTAATGTTGTGGGAATCAGCTCGGTTCATGGCTTCTGTTTAACCAGAAATCCAACTCTGGGGGTATTTGCTCTATGGTCGCCACTATATCTGCTGACCTTGTGTTCACGACTGATGGTGACTCAAAAGCACTTGACCTACTGAAGCGAAATGTCAACTCAAATCTTAGGCCGACATTTCTGGACAAACCGATTACAAAAAGATTAGAGTGGGGAATAGAGATCATATAGAAGCCATCAAGGAAGCTAATTCTCAAGGTTTTGATATCATCCTCGGCACAGATGTCACTTATGTAGCTGAAGCTATCTTGCCCTTATTTCAAACTGCAAAGGAGTGGATTTCATCTGATAGAAGCACTGCTGAGGACTCCGAACCGGCCCTAATCTTTGTCATATTTTCCTTCCTGTAGACGAGCCTTCCATACTTTCAGCTGCATTCAAATTCGGGTTTAAGCTAGTCGGTAAGTGGCCAAAAGAAATTCCTACTTCATCACAAAGCATCATCAAATCTTCGTTCATGGTTCGGACTTCGGAGCATGTCCAAAGGAGAGCATTACCATATCCTGTACTTCCACATGGAGCGGAGTTTTTCTGACTCAATAGTTATATTTTTTTCTTCTGTTACGACGAATTATATCAAGAAATACAGTCAAGGTTCAACATTCCAGACATTTTTTTTTTGTTGTCACATTGCAGCATTTGCCTTCACGTATGCTTTCTACCCCTTAATTCTATTTGGCAACATTATCAATTGTAATTGTAAAGCATTCTTTATCCTTTGAACGAAGATCTGTAATTTTCTTGTAATTTGTTTGAGTTGCGCATTGGATGAAAGGGGAGCGTTCACCTTCAATTGAGTTTTTTTTTTCCTTCTTTTTGTTGGGTATATAAAGCAGTAACATAATTTCACAAAATAAAATTTTCCTATAGGTGATTTTAACATCTCTAATTTAAAAAAATTAAAAGTAAATCTCTCTCCCTCTCTTCCCACTCGCACTCCACGTTCTCTCTCACTCTCTTCATCACTCCTTCAATTTTAAAAACCATGTGGGCATATATTAGTACTTAAGAACAAAATCACTTAACTGCTTATTGGCACACCTTAAAATAAATCCAAAATGACATAAAATATCGAATAAATCCAAAATGACATAAAATATCGATAAGTTATGTTGGTATGGATGTCCATTGCAAAATAGTCCATGGATTCCATATATTTTATCAATTAGAAAGGGACTATCGTTTCCTTTGAGTTTTTGTTTTAGACTTATTTTTAACCATGCCTCGTGTAATTAAAATTTTAATTTTACTTTGTTTTCCGTGTTTAAAAGTTTAAAAATCATTATCTTATTTCTTAAAACTCAAAACTCGCTCCATCTTTATCATAAAACTCAATTTTCAAATCCCATTTTATCTCATGTAATTCAAAAGTCTTCATTTTATTTTATAAAACTCAAAATCCCGCTTCTCATCTTAATTCTGATAATTTGTGGGTTTAATTTAGATGTACTAAGCTAATCAATTTATTTTTTATATTTTTTCATCTCTGCAACTCAAGCCCAACAACCCATAAAAATTATTGTTAAATATCACTGAAAATTTATAATCAAATACATGGTAGCATTACAACATAAATCTTGAAAACTGCTAGGTTTACAAATATCCAGGGCCTGTTAGCAAGAAC